GTTTTAACAGAGATATCTATTATTTTTCCGCTCCCGCACACTGGGTCAACGGAAAGATCATTGTAACGTAACATACAAAGTTTCACTGAGCCAGGAATTTGCGTAACTTTTCCTAATGTAAACAACCACTGACTCCAGTGGTCGAGGGCGTCGACCTGCTGACCCCGAAAGCGGAAACATAATCGAGATATCTCTATTAGAATAAAGATATATCTATTCCGTGAATAAATGTTAACTTGGCACGTCTAGGAATAGGGATATCTTTATTCCGGGATTAATTGTTAACTTTACAAGCCCTATGGTTTGCAAAGTTAACATTTAATCCTTGACAAATACATGTAAGTTCTCGCCCCACTCTCTATCTTCATAATATGCGAGCAGCGCAATAAATGGCCTTGGCGGCAAGAAGTGTGAGCGGGCCATTGAAAAAGGTACAGGGGTGCGACTTTATCATTTTCTCTCAAATTTTCTGGCTTTGTTCAGTTTTTCTTCAGAGAATCCATTAAATCGTGTATGCTGTTAGTACGTGTTTACAAATGCACATGTTGGCTCCAAGAACACTAACGATGTAAACTACTGATCATGGAAGGGGGCCATACTAAGAAAGGGCGATATACGGAAGGGCTGCGTAAAGCACCGTGATCAGAATATTGACAAGAATACAATATAAAGTTAGTGCTCTGAAACATGAATTGCCGAGCTTTCGGTAACTGAGTACCTTCTTCAGGGCAAGCAGATTCAGTTCTGAATGAACGTAAAAAAATCCACGTTCATTCCCCTTGGATCGAAAATGACGCACTGCTTCAGTTCCTTACGCTGTAGCTGTACATCGGATGACGCTTTCCGCAGGATGCTGACGCTTACGTCACCGAGGGTATGTGGCGGCGCACAAAAGTGCTGCGCAGCAGTGAGACCAGGTGTTTGTTGTCGCACACTGCGCAAGTGTTCTGCGAAGCGGTCACCTAGGCGACGCTTGGTCTCTCCGATGTATAGTTTTACAACAGCAACGCATGTAATGCAATAAACAACATTACTTGTAATGGGTGCGTTCGATTAGCTTCGCTAAACACACCAGTGTTACACTCAAGGGAAGCCTCAAAATGAGGCTTATCGAACGCTGCAGTGTGTTTTCCAAGGCATTCTGGGAAAAAGTCAAGTCCCCGCCTCATTCCATCATGTACGTCCATGCGCGAACAGTCCATCCGTGACGTCATTACACTCGGGCAGCCTCCAGAGACCCGCTCGCCAGCTGGGGTAGTGGTGGCTGACACCAGGGCAGGCACGAACATCACGTGATGGCTAAACGAACGCTCTCGTGGGTGTCAGGTCAACTCGCCTCCTGACCGACTCGCCCCTTACCGACTCGCCCGTTTCCAACTCGCCCCCTCGTAAACTCGCCCCCTGACCGACTCGCCTCTTACCAACTCGCCTCCTGGCCGACTCGCCCCTTGACTGACTCGCCCCCTGGCCGACTCGTTATTAAAAAAACAAAAAAAAAACGGTTCTAACCAACGACGCGACACGAACGACTCACGGACGGTGATGGATATTTGGACATCACCACTAATCACTTATCTATTCAAACGCTTCCTACGTCCACTGTCTGATTAGGTTATCTGTACATCCAACATACCCTCAGGATCAACAACTTCGAACCCTCCG